CATATACCGTAGTAATTAATTCATTTACATGTAGTCTAGGTTTTGTGTTCTGTTTTCTATTTTTACTTTTCTAGATATACTTACTTGAAAAAAGGGATCAGCATGACAACCTGACACTTTGGGGTCTATTCACAAAGCTGCCGAAGGATCTGGCCGTAGCTTCGGCCGATTGTGTGTCCACTAAAGGGTGTGGTCACTGAGGGGTGTGGTCACTGAGGGGCGCTGTAAAGTTTTCTCGCACAGGGCGCCTAAAGGCCTAAGGTCGGCCCTGGATATCTGTACATCAGACCAAAAATTGGGACAACTGAGGAGGAAAGAGGGACTTAGTTCCCAATGAGAGACAGTTGGGAGCAGTGGTGGAACTACCGCCGGTGCAGGCGGTGCCGGGCACCGGGGCCTGAGGCTGTGGGGGGGCCCGGTCACCGTCGCGTCCATAGTAACAGGCAGCGGGAGGGGAGGGGAGTCACAGGAGGAGGCGTGTGTTTGTCACAAGCCCCGCCCCCTGCAGTGCACACATAGAAAATCCCTGGCTGGGTAAGTCGACCACGCGCGCGGGGATACTGTTCCACTATCCAGTGGGCAGGACTGTATTGTGTGCTGATCTCTTTACTGGATAGTTGCATGGTGGGGCTTTCCAAAACCGAGTTGGAGCTGAAGTCAGGGCATGTGTAAGGGAAGCAATACAAATCTCTGATCCTATTGCCTTGTGGTTTTTTTTTTTGGGGGGGGGGGGCCAAAAAAAAAATCTTGCACCAGGGCTCTTTGTTTCTTAGCTCCGCCACTGGAAGGGAGATATGCATTCCATCATTCAGCATGACTGAGTGGTTGGTACTTATTTGGTTTTAAATCGAGTAAGAGAATCACCTTAATAACAGATTTCAGTCCCTCAGGGCCGTCTCACAAAGGTCCGCTTTGTTGTGTTAGCCATTCACATCAATGGGTTGCCATTGCTCCAAAATGAACCAGTTATCGGCCATGCACCATTTTGCTAACGCAGAGCACGACAACACACAGTAGAGTTTTTTTGTACATTGCAGTTTGCTGCAACGCATGTGCATCAAAAGCGTGTTGGCATGCTATTAACCAGTTGACATCCGGGGTGTTAAACCCCCTTCCCATCCAGGCCATTTTTCAGTATTCAGCGCTGCGGTACTTTGACTGACATTTATTCCGTCATGCAGCGCTGTACTGAAATTAATTTTATACCCTTTTTTGGGGACACATAGAGCTTTATTTTGGTGGTATTTATTCACCACTGGGGTTTTTATTTTTTAATATATTAAGGAAAAATTACAGATTAAAAAAAAAAAAAAAACAGTTTCCCCTATATTAAATTCTAAAACATTTATTATTACCCAATTTTTTGGTAAAATATAAAAGACGGGGTCACGTCGGGTAAAGAGACACCAAACATGTCAAGCTTTAAAATTGCGCATGCGCGCGAAACCTCAAAAAAACTACATTACCCAAAATTGGCCATAGGCGACGCATTAAAAGCTTTTACCGCTCATCAGTTTAGTGTTAT